TGATTACAGGCAAGGAGGACGCCGCTAACAACTACGCCCGCGGTCACTACACCATTGGCAAGGAGATCGTCGATGTGGTACTCGAAAAGGTGCGGAAGTTGGCCGACCAGTGCACAGGTGAGAGGAAATTGTTGACGTGGTATTGCAAATATATATATTTTTGTTCTCTCATTTTCAGTCTCATTCATTATGGTATAATATCCCTGTTTTTTGTCTGATATTGTCTGATTATTCTTTTGTCTGTATGTGTACATCGGCCTCCTTCTACCTCTCCCTTTTCTTCCTTGCACCCCACTTTCTCTCACCCTCTTTCTCTCTCTACCTCCCTCCTTCCCTCTCTCTTCTCCCCTCCCTCTCTCTCTCTCTGTCTCTCTCCCTCTTCCTCTCTCCCTCCCTCCCTCTCCCCATCTCAAACTGAGCACGCCCTAAATTCCTTGTAACCCAATTCCCCGAGTAAGAACAGCAATCCCAAGGTGGTTTTACTAATGGCCCGTGAACACAAAGGGCTCTCGTCCACCAATCAACCAACCCTTGCATTTATTCCGTCTCCCTTTGCAATTTTCTGCAATTAAGCCTCTTGTCGATCCTCTTCCTTCGTGGCAAGCTCCTGGGTAAATTCGATTCTCATTTCCTCATGACTCATTGCTTGACTCGACTCACTTCCTCATGACTCATGACTCGGGACTCTCCTCTGAGTCACCGTTTCGCGGATCACTTTTTTTTTTTTTAAGTCAACACTCATAACTTCTAATATGCGAACCACACCACCTGATTGCTGACTTGCTCATCCCCTCACACCTGTGCAATTGGACTCTCTTACATTTACTCAACTCTATTCCCTCCTACCCCACCCCACCCACACATTCCCTCCCTCACTCACTCCCTCTCACCCCACCCACCCACTCCCTCCCTCCCTCCCTCACTCTTACTCACTCCCACTCCCTCTCACCCCATCCACCCACCACTCACTCCCTCCCTCACTCACTCACTCTTACTCACTCCCATTCCCTCTCACCCCACCCACCCACTCCCTCCCTCCCTCCCTCCCTCCTTCCCTCCCTCCCTCACTCACTCCCACTCACGCCCATCCTCCCGCCCACAGGCCTCCAAGGCTTCCTGATCTTCCACTCGTTCGGCGGCGGCACTGGCTCCGGCTTCACCTCCCTGCTGATGGAGAGGCTCTCGGTCGACTACGGCAAGAAGAGCAAGCTGGAGTTCGCCATCTACCCCGCGCCTCAGGTAAGGTTCGAGGGGGGGGGTAGGGGGATAGGAGAGGGATAGGGGAACGTGGGGGTAATAAGGGGATGGGGAGGGGAGGGAGGGAGGTAAGGATAGAGGGGAAAGGAGGGGATGGAGGGAGGTAAGGATAGAGGGGAAAGGAGGGGAAGGAGGGAGGTAAGGATAGAGGGGAAAGGAGGGGAAGGAGGGAGGTAAGGATAGAGGGGAAAGGAGAGGAAAGGAGGGAAAGGGTATAGGTGATGAAGAGGTCAACTTCGGCAAGCTGAACATCGCCATCTATCCCACCCCTCAGGTAAGGTGGGGAAGGAGGGAGGGAATAGGGTGGGAAGGGGAGGGGTGGTGGGATGGAGGGGTGGTTAGTGGAAGGGAGGATTGGTGGGAGGGAGGGAGGGAAGTGGAGGGAATGTTGGGAGGAGGAGTGGGAAGGGTGGTGGGAGGGGAGGTGGGAAGGGTGGTGGGAGGGGGGGAGGTGAGGGGAGTGAGGGAGGGAGGGAGGGAAGGGTGGTGGGAGGGGAGGTGGGAAGGGTGGTGGGAGGGGGGGGAGGGGAGGGGAGTGAGGGAGGGAGGGAGGGAAGGGTGGTGGGAGGGGAGGTGGGAAGGGTGGTGGGAGGGGGGGAGGTGAGGGGAGTGAGGGAGGGAGGGAGGGAGGGAGGGTTAGAGGTGAAGGGGCAGGTGAAGTGGAGGAAATGGAGCGTCGAAAACTTGGAGAACAAGAGGATAGGATAATACCCACTACCACTACTCTTAACTACCGACAATAGTATTTCTCAAACCAAAACAATACTTATAACTAAAAACCCATACCAACTTTATTTGACACCATTATAATGATTTTAACCGGAATTACAAAATCTTTCCCCCTGTCGAATTTGGGTCTACGAACAAGTGTAAAAAAAATAATAAAGCTAGAACACAAATTAATTCGGGAAAATTAACGCGGGAGGAACACGCCAATGTTCATTTTTAGGTCACGTAATCAATACCATTTTTTTTTTTTAGTCGGTGGTATATATTTAAGTTTTGGGTTTTGAATTCGCTCCGAAGGCAGAATGAGGGGAAGCCTTTACGCTAAAAATAAAATGAGATCAATTATAATACTGCTGTAATTTTCCCGTAAGTGTTCTAAAGTGCGGATATTTTTCAAGAGATTTAGTTTTTACTTCGTTTCCTATTTCTTTTATTGCTATTTTATTCTCTCTCTCCTTTTCGTAATATATTAGCACATTTCTTCCTCTTTCCCTCTCACACGTTTAAACTTACTAGTCTCTCTCGGGATTTGTTTATGATAGAATACTTCATGTCATACACATTTACAATTTCCCATACACATTTTACCTTATCAGGCTCTCTCTCTTTCCCTCACTCTTCCTTCAATCTATCCGTCTCTCTCCCTCACTTTGGTCTAATATATCATACTCATACTCATACTTATCGACCAACCTCTCCGTCTCTCTTCTTTTTTCTCTCTCCCTCACTCCCTCGAGCAATCTCTCCGCCTCTCTCCCTCACATGGCTAATGTTCTCCCTCCCTCCCTTTCCAACCAGGTCGCCACCGCCGTCGTGGAGCCCTACAACTCCATCCTGACGACCCACACCACCCTGGAGCACTCCGACTGCGCCTTCATGGTCGACAACGAAGCCATCTACGACATCTGCCGCAGGAACCTGGACATCGAACGTCCCACCTACACTAACCTGAACCGACTGATTGGTCAGATCGTGTCATCAATCACCGCTTCTCTCAGGTGGCGAGTCTGGTCGGAATGTTCCGTTTTCTATCTCCTTTCTTCCCGCTTTCCGTCTCCTTTCTTCCCGCTTTCCGTCTCCTTTCTTCCCGTTTTCTGTTTTTTTCCAGAACAGTATCTCCATTTTTTTTTTCTTCGTTTTCTGTTTGTTTGTTTTTCTTTAGTTTATATATGTGTTTATATAGTTCCGTGTCCTTGCTCTGTTTTTCCTTCTTGTTTTCTTTAAGTGTATGTATTTACCTCCTTTACTCCTTCTATCCCTTCCTTTTATGTTTCTCTTTCATCTCCCTCTCCATTCTGTTAATTATTTTCGAGCTTTACTATTTTTAATTTGCTAGGAATGATAATACAGCTGGAATCTCACTAAATAAGTCAAGAATTGCGCATTGCCTTTTCCCTTTTTTGAGTTCGCTTTGCTTCATAGATAAAAAGGATAATGATTATTTAAAAGAATTCTGCGGAGAGGAATCCCATTCTTTAAAAGGCAAAAAGAACTACAATAGATGATTAACTGCAACACACACACACACTCAAATCACACACACACACACACACACACACACACACACACACACACACACACACACACACACACACACACACACACACACACACACACACACACACACACACACACGCACACACAAACACACACTTCCATAACACTACATACACCTATCCATAACACTGCACACACAACACACAAATTCCCGCTTCTTACATGCCCGCCCCTCACGCAGGTTCGACGGCGCCCTTAACGTGGACCTGACGGAGTTCCAGACCAACCTGGTGCCCTACCCCAGGATCCACTTCCCCCTGGTCACCTACGCCCCCGTCATCTCCGCAGAAAAGGCCTACCACGAGCAGCTCTCCGTAGCCGAGATCACCAACGCTTGCTTCGAGCCTGCTAACCAGGTGAGGGAGGGGGAGGGGAGGGGTGGAGAGTATGGGTGGGGGGGAGGGAGTGAGGGGGGAGAGGGGGGAGGGGGTGGAACTGGTGAAGGAGGGGGCAAGGTTGATGAGGGTGTTGCGTGTTAAAGGAAAGTGGATTCGAAATCTGGGGTAAGTGTGTGAGAATCATATTCCATTAGTACAGGAACTTTACAATATATATATTTCAACATAACGTATCCTTCCCGTAGATAGAAAAAATATAATCTCGACTCTTCTCTCTAACCGACTAATCTTTTTACGTCCTTGCTCTAGAACAAAACATCCTTCTTCTCCTGACAAAAAAAAAGAAAGAAAAGAAAGATAGCAGAAAGAAAATACAAAAACAACAAAAACAAAAACATAAATTCCTTCTCCCTCTCAGATGGTGAAATGCGACCCACGTCACGGCAAGTACATGGCCTGCTGTCTCCTGTACCGAGGTGATGTTGTACCCAAGGACGTGAACGCTGCCATTGCCGCCATTAAGACCAAGAGGACCATCCAGTTTGTGGACTGGTGCCCTACAGGTTTCAAGGTATAAGGGATTGGCGTTCATTTTTTAGTTTTTTTTTAAATATGTTAGAGGGAAGGTGGTTTAGATGTGTATCTAATGAATTCCTATTATAACAATGAACTATTTATCTGATGAATTACAAATATGACAATGAAGTGTTTATCTAAGGTAGTATTAATGATTTATAACAATATGTAAAAATATATTAGTTAGGGCTCTATTCTCTATAGTACGCGTTTTCTTTGTTTACTCCCGCGGAGTTGTCAGGGGGACTACTTTATATTAGCTAACCCTTTTTCTCCTGCACTTTATAACTCCACCACTGCCTCCCATAAGAAAAAAATAATCAAACAAACAAGAAAGTAATTCCCTTTTAATCCGAACCCTCCAATACTTCAACATTCTAATTAATCCTCATTTTCCAGGTGGGCATCAACTACCAGCCTCCCACAGTGGTGCCCGGCGGTGACTTGGCCAAGGTAGCTCGTGCTGTATGCATGCTGTCCAACACCACCGCCATCGCTGAGGCCTGGGCACGTCTCGACCACAAGTTCGACCTTATGTATGCC